CAGTAAAGGTTTATGTGCTGAAGCCCATCAGACCAAACGGGTTCAGATGATGTCGCGTAAGAACAAAGTGAGCATTAGTAAAGCTGGAGAAACACAGAGAAAGTCACGTTAGCTTGTCGGCTAACAGCGAGCAGTTGCTAACATTATCCGGTGCAAAGTTATATAACGTTAGCTTTCCTCATTACTTCACCAACTAACGCGACCCATGTTACTATCCTGTGTGCCACTGTTGATTTAGCCTGCAAGAAAGGATGTGACGGCAAAAAGCAAATGTGGAGCGATTTGTTTACTAACGTTAGCCTATAGCGATGCAGCCAGCTAACGCTACAGCAGGACCTGCTGCTGTTTGCTTCGTAACATTCAGTTTATGTTTATTGTGGTTTTACCGTTACTCAGCTCCACAGCTTCTCCACGTCTACGTCGCTGTAACTAACGAGACCCACATAACATAAAACACTGCAACAAAGGAAGAGCCATCTGCTATCACTAGTTACAGGAAAGTTACTGACTGCGGTCTAACTGTTATAGTCACTTATAATATTCAGTCCAGCTCACTAACAGTTTCATTATCATCCAGTACATGTAGCTGTGCTGACATTGCTGAGCCTCCGTGACAGATTCACAGATAGTAAAGGTGGTTACTGAAAGCAGCAGGCGAGCTAACGATGTAGCACGTCGGCTAAATGCATAAATGTAACGTCATCATGTAACGAGCGCGGATTAGTTCAACCTGCACTGATAAAACATTACTGTAACGTTGCAGCGGAGTTCAGCTGAGTTTCCAGCTCTGTCTTTAGCTGCTGTCACTCTGCCTTTTTTCCGGGAGGATTGTTCCGATATGCGGCTCGCTGCGCTGAATGAAGTAGCGTTACGGTGCCGGTGTTGAGACGGGAAGGTTGAAGTAACATCTGTGTGAAAAGCCACAGCCTGCATGCTGGTGTTCCTGCGTTTATTGTGGTATTTCTGTGTGACAGCGGTTGTGTTTCAGATTCTGCTCGCTCTTGAGTTCAAGCGAGAACGCGTACGAACACACGCCTGGTTGCAATCTTAAAACCGCACCGCTAGAGGCCGCTGGAAACTCCATAATGCCCCTCAATCAAATTTGTGTGATTCAAGTGAATAAAATCAAACATTTATTGAACATTTGTTATATTGTTGTTTTATTGTCCCAGCCCTACGTTATTGTACCTGCATTACTGTTGCGACACGTTATTCCCAGCCGTGGTTTGTCGCTATAGAAACAGTTAGCTTATCCATCTGCAGCAGATTCTTTAATCTGGAATAAAAGAGGCAGTCCAGATGGGCCTTGCACTTCTGATACTAAAGTTTTAATGTCAGTTGTTTGAGCGAAACAAGAAAACAAGCTTAGGTTGTAAAATAAAGTCAATTCCAAATCTTTAGCATCCATTTTAGGGTAAAAAAATTATATATAAACCATTTAAAATCTATAAAATTATATTGTCCAGAGTTAATAAACGTCCCTGCTGTGCAATTTAACATTAAAATGAGTTGGTGCATGTTGAGCTGCAGAACAAGGTGTCAGGTTTTTTCATTTTCCAACAAAACTTGAAAGAAAAGAGTTTGCACATTTGTTCCTTGTTGAGTTTTATGGCTCAGTGTGAAATTATATTTAAGGTCAGATCTTAAACCAGCTACTGTAGAGATTTGGAGCATCACTGAAATCCGCTTTATACTGTACTGTGTGTTCAGCCAGCTACACAAACACACCTCATCCAGCAGCTTGGCTGTCACTCAAAACAAGCATTGCAGCGAGGGCGTCAATCATAACTGGAGGGCACTTTGAAACCACGCCTCCGCCTCAGAGGGAGACCTCCTGTTTATGATGAGCCGTAAGTCTGCTGACATTGACTCGGATTATTTTTATGACCTTAAAGCCTATAGGAAATCAAGTTAGTGCTCCACTTGCAGCTTCGCTCCTGACAATATGTATTTAAGTCTGAGTGGAGGCGCGATCAATGAATGTCGACATGACGGGCGAGTCAAAGACTGGCAGCGAGGCAGGAGAGAGCGAGGACAGAGACACGGATAAATGTCTGAAACGCACTCTGAAGTGAGATGAAGGGTCAAAGGTCACACTGTAGATAACTTCACCTGTGGTGGATTTGGTAGGTGAAGCTTGTGTTCTGTTTAATTGGCTTTAATTAATCCAGCATTTCCCGATCTGAGGAGCCTTTGCTCATAATTGTTTTCTCTAAAGCAACAATAAACCAGCAAATAAAGCTGCTGCTGCCAGTGAGGAACAGTCAGTCAGTGAATGTAGGGGAGCCGGACCATTGATCAGAGAAACGTCATTTTAAAAGATAACGTTACAGACAGCTGATGGTTTTTTTTGTTGAGATCAGCAGCTTGTGTGTGTGTGTGTGTGTGTGTGTTAGTCTTAACGCATTCACAGCAAGACTAGATTTGTAGTTTGTAGGACTGCAGCTAATGATGGTTTTAGTAATTGAGTATTCTATGGAATATTTAATCGATGCGAAGAATTTGTGTCGATGCTTTTAGTAATTGAATAAATCGATAATTGTTTCAGCCCTTGTAGTTTGTTGGAGAGAGAAGGAGAATAAAGTGAGACAGGCTTGCCTCTGTGTTTTAATGCAGCCGAATTCACTATTTAATTGTTTTTATCTACATATTTTTCTGTTTCTGTTGTCTAACTGGGGACGGAGCTTCATCACGGGGACCACCTGCTACAGAGCCATTTAAACCAAGTTTACATGACCCCGGACTCGCTCCAAATGTCCGTCTGCCTCGCTGCTGCCGGAGCTGATCGCAGTTATTCTACTAAATGTTTGTGCTCACACCAGGAGCTCTGCAGTGCGTCCCAGAAGCGTCCCAGCGTCAAGCAGCACAGCGCAGATGAACCTGACAGGAAGCCAGACGCAGAAACGGCACAGAATCCATTTCATTTTCAAAATAAAATACCCAGTACAGACTTCCGATCGTTTATCAACAGTCACACAGTAAAATCAGACAAAAAAGAAACATTTTTACTACGTAGATTCTTAATCATAGTAGAAGCACAAAAAGCACTAATCACCAAATCAACAAAATTTAAACATCCAACAAAAATCCAGCATGCAAAATGCTCTTGACGTTGAAGTTGACGCTGTAAATAAACCGCTGCGCAGCCTATGTCCGTCCCTCAGAATTCCCATAATGCAGAAAGGGGAAGTGGGTTTTGTTAAAATGTGCTAAAAGGTTTGCCATTTGTTTGAAATAGAAATGTCACTTTATGATTTATGTTTATTAAAATTATCTCCTTAGAAATTAGTGTTTATTGGTACATGTCATTCTTGTGGTGGTTTACCGTTGACACCATGAGTGAAGAGACTGTTTGATAAGAGCTGCTGAATTTTGCCGGCTCAGCAGAGCTGCATGCAACGTTATTGTTCATCCGCGTCCACCTTAACTGAGCTAAACTGTACGGCCCACGTATCGGGCCCCCTACCAACCAGGGCCCTGGGGCGGCCGCACCCACGCTATCTCCACTTATGTGTCTAAGGATGAACACTCTGTTAACCAGCCGTCAGTAGCTATCCGCGATCATCGTCAGACAAAATGACCAAATCCAGCAGCTCTGCTGAGAGATCGGCTGTAACACGAGTGATCACAGAAAGTTAGAGACAAGTAAAGGTTTGAATTGAATTGACAAAATACGTTATAAGTTATGGAAGAATAATAAAGACACAAGTCTTGAACAGTTTTTGTCTGGGAGGAGTCGGCCACAATCTTCCCTGCTCGCCTCAGAGTCCTGGAGGCGCACAGGTCCCGAAGTGATGGAAGATTGCAGCCAATCACCTTCTTACAGAGCGAATGACACGCTGCAGCCTGCCCTTGTCCCTGGCAGTGGCAGCAGCGTACCAGATGGTGATGGAGGAGGTGAGGATGGACTCAATGATGGCGGTGTAGAAGTGCACCATCATTGTCTTTGGCAGGCTGAACTTCTTCAGCCCCTGCAGGAAGTTCATCCTCTGCTGGGCCTTCTTGGTGAGGGAGGTGATGTTCAGCTCCCACTGGGAGATGATGGTGCCCAGGAAGCGGAAGGAGTCCACAGTGAAATAGTTTACTGTGACGGACCGGCTCAAAAGCCTGACATGATTGATCACACAGCAACAACAACGGGCTGCAGCAACGGTACTATTACTTTATTTACAACAACTTAAACATTTACTTAACACAATTACTCAAATAAAGCCGTGTCGTGTGGTAATCAGTAAGTCAGTAGTTTCTGCAATAATGAGGAGCGAGGAGTAGAGAGAACTGCGTCTCCCAAAGTGCAACAGGTAAGATGTGCTTTATATGGAGAACACCGGGGCCCAGGTGGCTCCAATACATGTTGTTGACGACGACCCCGCCTACTGAAACCTACTACAGAACACGCATAAACACTCCACAACCTAATGGAGACGACGTCCTGGGGACGTCGCATTACAGACAAAAACAAGAGAAAACAACGCCCACCAAACTTCCGCTGCGCCATCATCCTGGACGAACACGCAGTAGATGTTGTATTTTCAGAGTAGGCCGAAGAATCACCAGCACTGTAGATGTTAAGTTATTGGACCAAAGACACGAGAGGACGTGAACATGTTTGAGAACTTTGGCATTTAAATGAGCAAAAGAAAAGATTCCAGTAGGAAAAACGACGTGGTGACAAACTGGAGCAGGTCTGGACTGTTAATGTGAGCTGAGGATCACAGGTTAGCTTCAGCCGTAATGATTCTGCCCGGCTCTATTGTCGGGTCATTATCACACAGAATTACACTGTCCCCCTTGTTTGTTACCCTCCTCCTCCTCCGGGCTCATTGGATCCGGGCCACGTCCTGCATACCAAGGCTCCAATCCTCCTGCTTTTGTTTTATTCATGTCCCGTTTCTATCGAGGTCACGTTTAATGGAGCTGTGGGCATTAAAAACACAGCTCTGGCTGAGATTTTATTGCTCATCGTCTGGCCTGGCTAACTATCCGTCTCCCAAAGCCAAGACTCCTCTGCCGGGGAGATGCAGGTGGCTCTGACCCGCCGTTCACAGCTGATATGTTGTCCTGGCTTCGAACTCTTCAGCTGGAATCGACCCAATGCCGGTACAGGAAACTGTAACTGTAAAGTCACTCATAAAGACGCGAATAAATCAGCGAGTCAGATATGATTTTACAGCTTTTGTCTTGTTAGTGAATGTTTTCCCACCCTCTGATTAGGACGGTGTGTTGGCGGATTTACTTACTTTAAGTTTAGGCTTAATTTATGGCTCTCCTAAAAATGATGAGAAGCAGAAAGAACAGAGATAAAAACCCAACAGATTGCACAATTAAGGGAACCTGAAGGGGCCTTTTAAAACCAAGAGGACATGAACTAAAGAACAACTGGATAAAGTTTCTAAATGTTCCTGTGAAGTCCTCTCAGTCATCCTGCTCACATGTCATACATAAAAATGTTTTTCTCCCAGTACGCATCTCTGCGTATCGCTGAAATGTGAATATTGTCTTTGCTCCTCTAAGACCATAACTGAATATTTTTGGGTTGTGGACAAAATAAGACATTTTAGGAACGTCACCTTAAACTTTGGGAAACACACATTCTCTGGACCTAACAACTGATCAATTAATCGAGAAAATGGACACATTTCCAGTTTGGTGTTAAGCAACAAAAGTCCGCCACCAGATTGGTGTTGCGATTCAGTGGTGCATCAGGACTCGCCGTGTCTGCCGCATGGTCAGGATATTTGGAGTTTAACTTTATTGGTCACTTCTGCTGTGGGCTGGGCGATACGGCCAAAAATGTTGTCACGATTAAAACATTTCATATCATTCGATATCGATAATTATCATGATGTATGTCAAATCATTATTTCTTTCAAGTTTAAAGGCCGATTTTTGCCCCTAAGTGAAAATTGAAGAAACCAGAAGGTCAAAACTTTTCTTTAAGGACAGGACACTTGATGCCAAACAGTGGATCACTTAACAAATCTGAGGTGGAACATTCAAAACTATTATGATAAAATCTGTTTTCAACAAATATGATTAGTTAATCTTTTTTCAGGCCTCTTTTTTTTTTCCCAACAAAATAAATATTTTAATAGAAAATTAAGTGCTAATTTGTCCGTGATTCAAATGAATTAAAGCAAATATTTATTGACAATATATTATAATATTTATTATTTGTTGTTGAGGAAAATTATATTGCGATAATTACCATTGTTTTATTGCCCAGCCCTACTTCTGCTGTCTGTTACTGGAGCCAGAAAATCCTAATTTTCAAGGAGGAAGGAGAAGGAAGCCTGGGTGGAGCTGCGATGGATGATGAAGCGTGATGTAGTATAGAGAATCCCTTCCCTCACATACACGACTTTTGGGTGTGTGTTCTTTTGTCGTTACATATTTTCAGTCTTGTACTTCGACAGTTTTACGACAATGTGCGACTCAAACTGACAAACATCATGTGTGTAATTCAGGACACAATTCAAACGGGATTTAAACATTAGCTGTGTCTCGCCGAGCAGAACCAGAAGAAATCCAACACCTTTTACTGTAGTAAACTACCTGCAGTAACAGATCCTCTCCTGTGAAAAGAGTGAACTTTTGTTGGAGAGCGAAGCGTCAAGCGCATTCAGTGTGATCCGACTTTATCAGGCAAACGGCCTCGTCCGGCGTCCTGGGATCAGCCCATGAGGAGGTTTGTTTCATTAGACAGAGGGAGACCTCCTCCTATCAGATCAGAGCTGTAATAAGAGACCAGGGCCACCTGTGATTAAAGCCACTTCATAAAGACAGCCTGTGTGTGTGTGTGCACGCTGCAGCCTCTCATTGATCAGCAGCTGGTATCGGAGAGGAGGAAGTGCTCTCGGCTTGTAATTACCTGCTGAGCTTCAGTAATGAACTTTCACCTCAGGACAGATAGCCAGCAGCTCTGTGAGGCGGCTGCTGAGCTGCCCAACACATTCTCAGGCCCAACTCGTCACACACGGATGCCTGGTAAACACCCTTTGGCGTCGCTTTTTAGAGTTTTTCGGGCTCTGCAGTCAAGTTGGCAATAATAAATGTGCAATTTCCAGTCAGGCTTTCAAAAATAAAACTACTTAACGTTGTGAAATGTCGCAATTTGGTTAAGTTTAGGAAAACTTAAAATATTCAATGTTTTTTTTCACACGGGAAACAAACACCGGTCTCTTGAAGTCTGGTTTCTGGCCCACCGTCCACCCCAACCAGCTCTTTACTCAAACTTTATTATTAAAGGTTCATTGTGTGAGATTTAGTGGCATCTAATGGCGAGGGTTGTGTATTGCAACCATCCGTCCAGTCTACCACTGCCCCCTAAAGAGCTTCTTCAAAGAGCGCAGGACAGCTATGGTGGCTGACAACAGCACAAAAGGTGTCTCTTCTGAGACAGCAGAGAGTGGCCAGTCAAGAAATGAGGTTTCTTTAGGTAGATTTATTAAGAAATTACATTTACTGAATTATTCACTAAAACCATATGTTATTGTGACTTGGCCACTGACAGATAACATGGAAACACTGTCACTGTTTCTGCACCACAGTCCATTATAAACCACATATTAAATAAAGTTTATACAAACACTGACAAGGGAAACACATTCGTGCTCTGTGATTATGGACACTCGCCAAAACTGCCCGGCAGCAATAATATCTGGCCCGCTGCCAGATTACGGTGCTTTGATAGCGGTAAAAAATATAAATGTATTGATAGGGGTGCTGAAATAGAGTTCAGTCAACTGTTACTCACATAATCACTTCCTCTGTAGTGGTTTTGCCTACAAAATAAATAATTGTTTACTGTAATACAGTATTGGAGTTGAACTGAGCTTTTACTTTGAAAAATTCTGAACGTCATTAAAAGAGTCAGTAAATACCGAAACAAAAACAGTGCAGCACATGCTGTGATCTGAGAAACATTCGCTGCAGAATCCATTTGTTGAAGAGAGGGGGGGAAAAAAAAAAAAAAAAAAAGTTAGCCCAAGGTGGGATCAAACACTCAACCCTTGGATTGAGAGTCCTGCACCTTGCACCAACTGAGCTAACTGAATAGTATGCCTTATATTCTCATCCACCATGTAATGGTTGAAAATATTGCTCCGATGCAAAACTTATTTGCCGACCGCTGCAGTATATTACTACTACTTCTTCTAACGTACGTATTTAACGCAGTGATGAGTGTCTGCACTGCCTGAATTCTACCAGAAGTAGAACAAGAGGAACGTAGCGATGAAACGCGCTCTTTAGCGCTGTTTGTCCGTTTTCAGCTACTGTAGAAACATGACATGCAACGTGGCGACGTCCATGGAAGGGGGGACCCGCAGTTATGTAGATATAAATGTCTCATTCTAAGGTAATAAAAACATAACGGTTCATTATGTAAGGTCTTTACACACCATCTTTATATTGCATTTCTGTCAATAAAGCCTAAGACACACTGAACCTTTAAATATTTTAAACCTGCCTTTAGGGTTCAAAAGTGACACTACACTTTCCCCCAGTGTGTTACAAAGTGACGGCTAGAGGTCTTGACCATGTGAGAATGGTTGAGCTGCCTGCGCACAAATATAAATAAAAATAAAATGATCAGAAGTGTTTAAAATCATTGATGCACGAATCGGTTTTAAATTATCCTGGTTTGACTCATTGATCTACTGATAGAAATAATTTGATCAGATTGTTCTGCTTCCATCAATAACTGTACAAGATTCTGTGAATCAAATGATTTCAGCCCATTAACGTTCATCAGGTTTGGTGGTAGGTGGCTTGAATGTCAAACAAATCAGAAACATTAAACATTAAAGAACATAAGGCAAGACAAATTTATTTCTATAGCACAATTTATACACAAGGCAGACTCATAGAAACAGCATGTTGTACCATAAATACATTTTATAAATATAATATAAAAGAGTGCATAAAATTACATTAAAGAAAAATAGAAAAATAAAATCAAGACCTATTTGATCATTTAAAAAGAATAAAATCAAAATGTAGTGCAAAGTTTTTAGCCTAGCAGAAGGCACAGGTGAACATGAACGTTTAATGACGTTAACATCAGTTATCTTCGGTAACGTTAGCCGCAGTGACGTTGGCTTCAGTTATCTACAGTAATATTGGCTTCATTTAGCTTTAGAAACGTTAGCTTTAATTTCAATTAGCTTCAGTGATGTTAGCTTCCGCAACATTTGCTTCTGTAATGTTCGCATCAGTTCTGTTAGTGACTTTAGCTTAAGTGACTTCAGTGACGTTAATTTCAATTAATCTCAGTGACGTTACCTTCCGCAACTTTAGCTTCTATAATGTTAGCATCATTGAAGTTAACTTCAGTAACGTTGGTTTTAGTGACGTTGGCTTCAGTGAGTTCAGTGATGTTAATTTAAATTAGCTTCAGTGATGTTAGCTTCCGCAACGTTAGCTTCCGTAATGTTAGCATCAGTGACGTTAACTTCAATTAACTTCAGTGACGTTGGCATCAATTAACTTTAGTGACGTTAGCTTCAGCGATGTTAGCTTTAGTAACTTTAGCTTCTGTAACATTAGCTTCAGTGACGTTAGCTTCAGTAACATTTGCGTCAGTAAGTTAGCTAGCATTAATGTTGGCTTCAGCTCGGAAAGCTAGATGTCTATAAAGAGAAGTGTAGATGTGATGCATTGTATTATCATGTATGTGTGTGTGTGTGTATATAAAATGTCAGTGAGACTTTTAAATGCTGTTTTGCTGCCTTTCTTGAAAAAGAGATTCTATCAAAATCAAATATCTTCCTGGGTAAATAAAGGTTAAACAAAAATCATCATGCTTTAAAGAAAACCTACGTTATTGTCCTTTTTTTAAAAATCAATCCAAGTGTGTCTCTTTTCTATACAGATTTGGAAAAAGCAGATGAGCAGTCATTGTGAAGGCGTTTACAATATTTGTAAATCAACGCCCAATCAAAAGACTATAGATCAACTGTTTCAGTGGTTTTTTTATTTTATAAAATACACATCTGCAAAACACATGAGGACCAAATGAAAATGTTAGCAGAGTTATTCATTGTAACAGTAAACCTGTTCGACATTGGTTTTGGGCGACAGGGGAAATACAACTGGTTCAGTCAAACACCTCGCTAACGTGTGTCTGCGTCTTCTCGTCCGAAGGATCAGTGGGGTCACGCGGAGGAAATCGAGCTGGTGAACGATGGATCTGGTTTGGGCTTCGGCATCGTGGGAGGGAAGACGACCGGGGTGGTGGTCAGGACGCTCATCCCAAACAGCGTGGCTGACAAGGTGAGTTACAATAAGCTGATGAGCACGATATCAAAATCTCTATCTTGATATTTTGTCTCCTAAATGATCTTTGTTGGGAGTTGCACATGCTCAGTTCCTAGTTAAGGACTACTAGCCAATCAGAAGCAGAGAAGGGCGAGTCAGCGAGAAGCCGGTAAACGGCTCGGGTTAAGCCGTACGTGTTGCCGACCGGCTCGGCAACACGGACTGTAGCGAGAGTTTCAGAGCGGTGAGTTATTAATCTGTATCCATAAAGTTTTAACTGAGCTCTGTCTCTACATCACAGGAACAACTTTCTGTCCACTGACTGCCTGGAGGGTAGCTAGTGTTTGGAAGGGAGAGGAGAGCTGTGTGCTGCAGCTCGCTGTTTCTGAGGGCGTGTCGGAGTCGCCGCTCGGCGAGCGTTATATGAGGCGCGTTTAGCTTGAAAGGGAAGCGGCTGGACTACAAACGAGCTGTTTTCAGTTCAGAGCAGAGTTTTCTGTGGGAGATGGGAACTCACTTTGGGCTTTTTCACTTTGCAAACCTGTTACATGCACAAAAAAAAAAAAATATATATATATATATATATATATATATATATATATATATATATATATATATATATATAAAAAAATTAAATAAAGGAGAGGGGAAAAGCCAAAAAGCAGAATACCACCTCTTTAATTTGTTATTGTGAACAAAAAATTTTTACTAGCTTGCTGCTGTGTCACTAGTGCAGTTTTATCCTCTGTCCAAACAATGAAGCCTGATTAGAGTAAGAGCCAAAGATATCAGTCCAGACATTTAGGTTGAGGAAGTCAGTGCAAGTTGATTTTCATGGAAATTAACTGAGACCAGCGGTTGTAATCAATTTAAAACTGATTGGATCTGGAAAAGGATCAGTTGGATTTTATAGAGGAGATGTTTTGAAGGGCTGCCTGCAAGGTTAGTGTAGTTATGCATTTCACATTAGTTTTTATTTTCGTTTTGACTTTTTGTTTTAATTTAAGTTTACTTTGAATTAGTTTTTAAAGCGGGTTTGTTTATTTTAGTTTTTGAAAATGCTTATAGTTTCAGTCTGCCGCCATTTCATGCCTTTCGCAGCCATGATGCCAGGCGAGGGGCTGACAGTTAAAAAAACAGGAAGATAAATGTCATATCCACCCATAATAGCAGGCTCATGTCGGCCTTATGAAATAAACTGACATTTTCTCTATATTTTAGTTTATTTTAGTGAGCTTTGCAAAAAGACAATACAGTTTATTTTGTAAAGCCTTGTTTTTGGTTTTATTTTCGTTAAATAAATGGTTAAAAACATCTGTTATTATTAACACTGCCATGTCTCAATAATAAATTTCCACAGCGTTAAACCCATCTGTATAACAACAGTTGTGTCTTTCTGTAATTAAAGGCCAACTCTGTTTTCAGTCACTAATTATTTCCTGCTTTGCTATATATTGATCTGATTTCTTTTTGTGTGAAACATGCTTCACAAACTAACTCGCCTTTTCTTTTAAAAAAAGAAAATATACTATTTTTAAATAAAGAGAAAAGAGAAAAAAAAGAGTGTTTGAGGAAAGACGGTCTGCTGATGTTTGGTACAAATATAAATGTATTGTCTCATTAAAAAAAGGAAATATAATATAAAGCCTGATGTGAATCAGAATTTAGTCAAAGATCTCTGAGCTCAGTTACATCCAGGTACACTTTGATTAGCTGCAGCTCTACAGGTCAGTTTAAGGTCTCCCTGAAGAGGAAATGCTGTCTTTGTTATGTGATTTAGGTGAGACTTAAGGCCGCTTTATGTTTTATTACTCCCAGGATGATGATTTAAGGGCTTTACCTTTTAGCAAAGTCTCCATCTCTGGTGACTCGTTCTGGTCGGATGAACATTAAAGACTTGAGCTGTGTTTTAGGACAAAGCTTGTGATGTTTATGTAAAAAGTTCTATTCTTTTCTGACAATTGATTCACACCTGGACACTTGGATGTGATCTACTGCTCCAACTACTACTAAAAACTAGGAAGCTTAAATGCAGGGTGGATAATAATGAGTGCTTGAGGTTCAGTTAAAGGGGGGAGGAGAACATAAAAGTTTGTAGTAGTCTGCAGTTTAGTTCCAGCTCTGTGGGATCAAATAGTGGTCGACCGATATGGGTTTTTCAAAGGCAGATGCCGATATTTAGAGAGCACGTCGATGGCCGATATCACAACAAAGAAAAGTCACACATTATTCCATGCAGAGTAGAATCTAATATACATGTTATTTGAGCCAGTAATGTGTTGTTTCAGATTATTAGAACCTTTATTTAACCAGGAGAGTCGTATTAAAAATATCTTTTCCCAGGGCAACTTGCTGCACAGGTGCAGACAGATGACTCAAGACGCTTTTCCACCAAATGTACTGGGGACTTTTTAGTCCCAGATCTCTTTTGAAGGAACTAAAAGGTTCCTTCACCCCACTATTGTGAGTTTCCACAGCGGTCTTAAGGCCTGCTGAGATTAGGCAGATTAACCAGCTAATGTAGGCTGTAGGCCGGCACGCTGTACAAAGTGATGCACAGGCATCATTATTTAGAAACCACTATCCATGAGCAACATTTATAATACAGACAGTTTGGAAGGTTATTACAACATTTCCAGCCAACAAGAGCTGTAGCATCACGTCTGTGTCGCCTGAGCGTCGGAGGATCAGCTGTTCCACTTGTTTTTGAGAGGAGGAGACCGACTTCAGCTCTGTGCAAAAACCTCCTGATTGATGAAAACTTCAAACGACAACTCTGGACTCAGTATTTAGCTTAACTCCATCAGCTGTTCGCTGTAAACACACTGCTGCACGCGGGCTGCGGTTTCCCAGCTACACATTTAATACCGACGTTCGATCTCAGGCGACATCGTGAGACTCGTGCGGCTCTCTGACTGATGGTTGTGATTTATTGGTTTGCAAACAGTGGAAAAGAGAGGAGCAGTCGTAGAAAAACACCGGACATTCTCCAGTTAAAGCCAGTAGCCTCTACTCACCCATTCAGAAATTCACAAGGAGTGATTTTTTTAAATTAAGGTACAGCACATGTGGCTTAAAAGTTAGGGAGTCATCAATTCAAATACCCAGCTATTTATAAGAGCGAACAACCTCTGTTTCACTCCTCCCCACGAGTGACTGAGGGAATAATTTGTGGCATATTCCTAGACTTGTAAAACAACACGAGTTTGAGTTGATCTGCATTAAGAACTGGATTCAGCTAAATTCGGGTATGATGGTATGGTAGATGGCAGTGGTTGGCAATACGCTGCCTGATTACTTTTATAGCGGCAAAAAAATATATAGGCTATAAATATATTGATAGCAGCTGCTGCTGAAATAAATGTCATGCCAGCAACAGTTACTTACATGCATACATCACTTTCTCTTAAGTGACTCTGCCTACAAAATAAAAAACGCAAGAAGGTTTTTTGTAGCAATGCTTTATTATGAGTTTAATTGAGAGATTTTACTTTGAAATGTTCTGAAAGACATTGAAAACAGTGTGTGGTTTGCTTGACACATCTCTGAAAATCGATTCCCCTGAATGAGAAGCATTGAAACGGCTTCTTCATAATCAATTTATTTAACAAGGGAGAAGACAAAATTCGCAGTGTGTAGGGATCAAACGCAAAACCTTCCCGATGGAAATCCTGCGCGCTACTGACTGAGCTAACTACGAGCATGTAAACTAATTGATTTTAGATCATCATTTGACGATATTCTGGCCTGCAATCTAATGGGTTTTTAAAAAAGTGGCCCGATACCAGACTTATTTGCCATCCTCTGTTCTGCATTATAATTATCGTGACGTGCAACTCCTCAAAAATGTAACTACACGTTGAGGCGACTCAGACCGTAAGGTAGGCTGGGTAGCCTTGCAATGCTTCCGAGCCGACAGGAAGTGACCGTGCTCTGAAGTAACTTTTTATAAGCGGCCAAACCAGCGCAGTGAATCAATATATTTATAAATGACTCGTTTCGCTATCAGAATGTGATCCATTCTGTCGATAACATTTGAAAAGGCTACACCAGCCGCACGTTTACAATTTTACCCCCATTCACGTTAGCGGAGCGCTAAACCGGAAGTTAGCCTGCTCGGCTGGCAACAGTCAACACAGTGGACGCTGTAGCGCAACTGCCGACTAGCGTTTGGGGGTGTAATTGCAGAACGAAGGAGACGCCGACACACAAGTATAAATGCATGGCTACGTGCGTAGCCTAGCATGTAGCCCTGGCGCAGGAGTATAAATCAAGTTTGACTCTGGACACTTTCTGTCTTTCTCTGTGGCCTGTCTTCTTCGTCCCTCATTATTTTCTGTCTCTTCCTCCACTTTGCAAGCCGCACCGTCAAATCATGTCATCTTCAAATGTCCAAAGCGTGACAGTAATAGTCGTCTGCGCGAAACACTGTGGTGTGTGTGTGTGTGTGTGTGTGTGTGTGTGTGTGTATATATAGTTGTATGGATTAAATGAAGCATTGATGTTTTTTTAGTAATAAAATTTGAGTTTCTTAATGACTGGTTTAAGCCCTAAACTCACCATAAATTCACCCAAAAAAATCTTTGTCTTTGTTAGAAGAGAGTTCTGAATGAGCTGAGGGTAACCGCAGTTAGACTCTTATTGTGTTGGTTTCATTGGAATGAAAATATGGAAAAGTAGAACCAGTTGGAATTTGCTAAAGAGAAAGAACCGTATTTCTGTTAAAAACAGGAAGACTTATTTATAAAATCCGATCATATATTTATTGAAAAGGGTAAAGACCTGTCTCTAATATAAGCCTGGTTTTCTCTGCAGCAATAAATAAATAAAGACTCTGGGCCACTATTTGAGAATTTACAGTTGTTGAAACTTGAAGACCGACACTTTTTCCTGTAAAGTGATGTATATTTCCCTCTGATTGGTTCTCATGCTCCTCCAATCAGGACGGACGTCTCCGCACAGGTGACTACATCCTTCGCATTGGGGCGACGCCCACCAGTGGCCTCACTAGCGACCAGGTCGTCAAGGTGCTGCAGGCGTGCGGGAGTCACGTGACCATGCTGATAGCTAGGGATCCCCGGGGTCAGAGGTCAACTGCCCCGCCTCCCCCACCACCTCCAAACTCTGCCCCCGTCTCCTCTTTACCCCCCCAACCCCCAGACCTGCCCCCCCAACGTCGACTCAGCAATACGGTAAGCAGCCATGATCGTTACAGAGTTCTCATTTTAGTCCACTAAGTTGTTGAATCATCTAAGAGAAAATCTCAGAGATGAATTTCTGTTTCTCTGCGTCCTCGCCGGAGAAGATGAAGGAGTTTGTTTTCTCTCTGCTTTGTGCTTTATGTGCTGCCGGCTATTGAGGCGGTACTGTCCGAGCTCAAATATATGGTTTGTGTTTCAGCCCAACCTGGAGGGGTATGAGATCCACGAGGTTCCACTAAGCAAGAAGGATGGCCAGAGCCTCGGCATCTCCATCATTGGCTACAACCCCTGACCAGCCAAGGTAGGACAGGAAGGAACAGTTAAAGCAAAATCAAACACAGCAAGCTAGAAATACATAGAAAACAGCACCACCAGCCCAAATCGGCGCACACAGCTCTTCATTCTAACTCAAAATAGTGGCTGCGGGTGTTTTACCAGGATGCGGGTGTTTTACCAGGATGCGGGTGTTTTAGAGTGAAGCGAGTGTTTTGCCGGGAAGCTGCTGTGCGGGTTTTACCAGGGTGCGGGGGTTTTACCAGGATGCGGGGGTTTTAGAGTGAAGCGAGTGTTTTACCGGGAAGCTGCTGCGGGTGTTTTAGAGTGATGCGGGTGTTTTAGAGTGAAGCGAGTGTTTTACCGGGAAGCTGCTGCGGGTGTTTTAGAGTGATGCGGGTGTTTTAGAGTGATGCGAGTGTTTTACCGGGAAGCTGCTGTGCGGGTTTTACCAGGATGCGGGGGTTTTACCAGGATGCGGGGGTTTTACCAGGATGCGGGGGTTTTACCAGGATGCGGGGGTTTTACCAGGATGCGGGGGTTTTAGAGTGAAGCGAGATTTTTTACCGGGAAGCTGCTGCAGGTGTTTTAGAGTGATGCGGGGGTTTTAGAGTGAAGCGAGATTTTTTACCGGGAAGCTGCTGCAGGTGTTTTAGAGTGATGCGGGTGTTTTACCGTGATGCGGGTGTTTTAGAGTGAAGCGAGTGTTTTACCGGGAAGCTGCTGCAGGTGTTTTAGAGTGATGCGGGTGTTTTACCGTGATGCGGGTGTTTTAGAGTGAAGCGAGTGTTTTACCGGGAAGCTGCTGCGGGTGTTTTAGAGTGATGCAGGTGTTTTACCGGGATGCGGGTGTTTTAGAGTGAAGCGAGTGTTTTGCCGGGAAGATGCTGCGCGGGTTTTACCGGGATGCGGGTGTTTTACTGGGATGCGCGTGCATGGGTTTTACCCGGAAGCGGCTGCGCAGGTTTTACCGCGGAGGGCTTTTATATTTTCCGCGCTTTGTTCAAACTTAGAACAGGAAAATTGTTATAAGTTGTTCTTCATAGTCTGCAGGTCTGTTTTAAATGCTCCAATAAAACCTGAACTCACTCTCTCTCTCTCTCCCCCCCCCCGCTTCAGATGCAGTCGGTGTGTTTGTGAAACATGTCGTCCCAGGCAGCGCAGCAGATCACAGCGGAAACGTCCGAATCCACGACCGACTGCTCGCTGTAAGAACTTGCTCAGAAATGTTTTTTCCTGTCTCATTGATTGAACAAATTAGACCTGATATTTGTAAGTGTCATTTACTGTTAGAAAGTCAGACTGCTAATCAGGTGTTTGCTGCAGTGTTTCCTCTAGGATTTTTTTTCTGCAGCGGAGGCAGTCCAAAATCCCACAACAAAACCACCCCCACTTTGAAAAATTTATTAAGTTTTAAGTAAAAGTATAAAAGTACTTGGTTAATAAAACAAACTACACAAAGTAGTTACTTTGTGTTTTAATATTGTTGTTGGCCAGATAAATTTTTTGCTATTATAGTGTTTTATCTGCTGAGTATCGTTATTATTAACGTGTACTAGTTATTGAATGCACTTTGCTTGTTGATTATCTCATATTTAGCTATTTCTGTTTAATACAGTTATTTTACTTGTTTTAATCTACATGAAGGTAAGTACTGAGGCAAAAACACAGGAGCAGCCCCGTGTTTAATGAAGTAGTAAAGCCTACATATTAGAGGAAGACCTGTGCATCACGCATCTGAAAAGTTATTGTTTGCTGAATAAATAACAGCTGGTAGCCTGAGTGAAAGCCAAGATCAGTTTCACCGGCGACATTCAATTAAATTAATTTACTGTCGGACATCGCTATAAAACAAATGGCAACGAAGCAGAAAATTAAAAGAAAACTATCAAAAGATAGTCAGGCTCTGCACAATGACAATTAGGAATCAGAATCAGTGCAGTGATCATCTGACCTGCATGAGTACTGCTGAGACTAAATGGGCTTTAATACGCCGTTAATGGAAAGTGAAAGTATTTATGCAGCTTTTCATTCCATTCAAAAGGTATTTGCCTACTTTTTTGTAAATGTTTGCATCAGCTCATTAATATCTGGCACAAGCACACCGGCTAAAGCTCTTAGGCGTAACCGTGTGCACACAGGTTGGTGTACCAAACGTTACTATGTGGTTTGTCGGCCCAATTTTTCAGCAGGCCATCAGGAAAACGGTACTCCTGACCCCCAGTAGTGTCGCCGAAAGATTCTACAGCATACCTGTCTTCACTGTCGTGTCAAACTAAAAGCCTTCGCAGAGTTGTGTAATTACGACTTCATGACATTTCGTAAAAATCTGAAGCAGCGACGGCGCTAATTTTGCAGTGGCAGGCCGCCGCTGCTGAATGTATGTAGCGGAAACCCTGCACTGTACATTTCAATATAACATGTGACCAAGAGGGGCGGAGTTAGACACTTAGCACAGTGGGGGCAGAGCTTCATCGTGGGCCCACCTGCTACAAAGACATATTAACCAAGTTTACATGACCCCAGACTCCCTCCGAAAGTCCACAGAGTCCGTCTGCTTCGCAGCTGCCGGAGCAGCCTTTCTACTAAATGTTTGTGCTTAGACCAGAGGCGCTGCAGTGCGTCCAAGAAGCGTCGCAGCGTCAGGCAGCACAGCGCAGATGAACTGGACAGGAAGTCAGACACAGAACCGTTACAGACTACCGATCATATATCAACAATAAACACAGTTAAATCAGACAAATAAGAAACATTTTTACTACGTAGCTACTTAATCATAGTAGAAGCACAAAAAGCACTAATCACCAAATCAACAAAATCTAAACATGTCGGCAAAGTCTGGCTTATTCTGAAATGCTCCCTGTGGTAGCTGCTAGACGCACCCGTCAAGACGAGGAACGAAAGCGAGCCACGGAGAGCTTTGAAGAATGTAGTAGAAACACAAAAAGGACAATTAAAACAAGTCGCTAACGTGGGGCAGAGAGGCTTCCAGAGGAAGCTGACGCCGTAAATAAACCCTTGCGCAGCCTACGCCCCTCCCTTGGAATTCCCATGATGCACGAGGGGGAAGGGAGTTTAAAATGTGCTTCATTTGATAAGAGGTGCTGAATTCTCCAGCGTATCGTCATATACCGTTATTGTTTGTTCGTGTCCACTACAATCAACTGAGCTAAACTTAATAGTCCCCGTAGTGGGCCCCCTACCAGCCGGGGCCTGGGGCGGCCGCCCCCATGCACCCACGCTACCACCGCTTATGGTGACAAATTAAGTTTTCGAGACTTTACAGCCCAACCTGATCTGAGCCCATGTCTATCTCCTGTTGTCTCTTCTCGTCTTTCCTGCCCTTATTAATTGTTTTACCCGTCTTTCTCTCTCTCTCTCGTCTGTCTCAACAGTTGGACGGCGTCAGTCTTCACGGTCTGACCAATCAGGAAGTTCTGGAGGTGATGAAGAAGACCGGTCAGACCGTCGTCCTCACTCTGGTCAGAAAGAAACCCAGAACCCTGGAGAGATCCCTGGACAAAGGTAGATGGACGGACCGGAACAAAGACAGCAGACAGTCTGTGTGCCTTGTGATTTAGTGGTTCATACAGCTAAAATTACCACAAAGGGATTCCCACATTAAACCGGGAGCTTTCGGGCCTTTGCCCCCTTTTCCTGGTTGGTAACCCCGCCTTAGTCCCATTAGAAAGCGCACTACAGATGAATCTCATACAGGTGTTCATTCACACAAGTACTGGGAAACACCTCTTGATCATTGAAGGTTTTTCATTCAGTCCTGTTGCCACAAGTGTATAAAATCAAGCACCTTCTGCCTTTACAAACATTTGTGAAAGAATGGCTCGATCTAAAGAGCTGAGTTCGAGTGTGGAACTGTAACAGGATGCCCCCGTTGCAACAAGTCAGGTTGTGAAATTTCATCTCTCCTAGATATTCCACGATCAGCTGTAAGCGGTGTTATTGCAAAGTGGAAGCGCTTAGGAACCATACAAACTCCGCCATGAAGTGGTAGACCACGTAAAGTTATAGAGCGAGGTCGCTGAGCGCTGAAGTGCACAATGAGTAAGAGTCTCGAGTTCCAGACTTCCTCTGGTGTTAACATCAGCACAAAAACTGCGTGCCGGGAGCTTCACCACAGGGTTTTCCATGGGCGAGCAGCTGCATGCAAGCCTTACATCGCCCAACGGCAAGCGTCGGATGTGTGAATTACAAACGCCACAGGACTCTGGAGCAGTAGAAACGTGTTCTGCTGAGTGACGAATCGCGCTTCTCCATCCGGCAGTCTCATGGACGAGTCTGGGTTTGGCGACTGCCAGGAGAACGTTACCTGACTTGACTAAAAAAGTTTGAATAGAAGTCCTTCAGTCACCCTGAAGGGAAAATTAATGTCTCAGCTTTCCAAGACATTTAGGAAATTTCTATGCTTCCAACTTTGTGGGTACAGTTTGGGTTTGACACTGATGTTGGACGAGTTTCCTCTCGTCCAACATCAGTGTCTGACCTCACAAATGCTCTTGTGGATTAATTGGGGGAAAAATTCCCACAGACAAACTCCAACATCTTGCAGAAAAGTCTTCCCAGAAGAGCTGCAAAGGGGGACCAACTCCATATTAATGGCTTTGGCTATCATTAAAGCTCCTGTAAGGGTAACGTGGAGGTGTGTCCCAATACTTTTGTCCATATAGTTTTCATATCAGGCTAAAATGTAGTATGGCTTTCTCTGGGTTTTCTTTCAAAGTTCATGATATTAAAGCAATAATCTGCTGCTGTGAGAGAAGTTAACTCTGTGTGAAACTTCTCAGAGCTCTGCTTCCCTATTTCCTGTCTGAAGCCTCTCTGCCTCTGTCCTCTCACCCAGATTAAGATGACAAATTTGTTTACAACTCGGTGTAATTTTCCCAAACTCCCCACAGAAAGGCTGCGATGCCTCCTCCACCAGCGCCCAGAGAGATTAATACCCCGGGTTCAGGGTCATTTTTTTGTCTTGCGATCGGCCGGCAGCCTGCACTGGTCAGCCTCCGGGCCAGAGAGAAACAAGTGATTTTTAAAAAAGCAGAGGAGTGCAGGGCTCTTATCTCCTCCAGACGTCTTTTTATTTCATTACTGAGAAAACACAGAGAGCTGGAAACCAGCTGAGTTCAGTCTGCAGTCTGGAGTTTTGAACTTCTTATATTCTGGTCATTTCTGTTTCCCTCTTATCTGCAGATACTCGCGATGAGTTATGAAGAGCCTGACAGGAAAATAAACATTAATTTTTTATAGATTACCGGCAGTAGTGATGAGTCAGGAGGTCAAAGGTCAGAGCACGCTGTACCCTCTAAGGGTGAATCGGACAAATGGAAGATGGAGAACGCTTTCACAGTCTCTCCTGGAAGATGTTCATGTCATGAATACTGAAAAATGGAAGATATTTGAAGAAATATTCTTATGTTTCTGCTGTTTGTGTGTTTGTGTCAGTGGAGAGGGAGTCATCTCGTGTGTCATTCAGGAGATCGTTGGAGGTCAAGTCTCGCTCATCTGGGTTGGACTTTACGACGCCAAAACTGGAACCAACGTACCCAAACGCAGCACAGCTAACAAGGGGTGAGCTCATACCAGGGTTTCTTTAAAAAGGCTCCATAAATCATCTGAATTTGAGTCTTAAATATAATTTTGACACGCCTTAGAAACTGACTGGATTGTGAAGTTAATGCTACTTTTATAAAGTTCAACTTCAGTCTTGCTTTTAAATGTTTCTGGTATAAAAAAGAAAAGAAGTACTGATCATGCTGTAACAAATCAAGCTCTGGGGGGGTCTTTACTGCTGCAGGGGGGTCCACACTGCCAAAAATAACTACTACAAGCAAATAAAGTCTTGATGAAGTTGAACTACAAAACGCAACCAACATGGAACCAATAACCACCAATACAAACTGTGTGATCCCAGTCAGAAGCTGCGTTTCCATGAAAATTACCCGAGCCTTTTACTACCAGGATTGACTTTTTTAAGGAACTAAAAGGTTCCTTCAGCTGATTGTTGTGTGCGTTTTCTCCGCGGTCTAAAGACCTGCGAAGATTAGGCAAATTAACCAGCTGACGTAGGCTGCAGGCTGTACGCCCTCCAAAGCGATGCACAGGCGTCATTATTTAGTAATGAAATAATGAAAAACTACACTCACCTAAAGGATTATTAGGAACACCTGTTCAGTTTCTCATTAATGCAATTATCTAATCAACCAATCACATGGCAGTTGCTTCAATGCATTTAGGGGTGTGGTCCTGGTCAAGACAATCTCCTGAACTCCAAACTGAATGTCAGAAGGGGAAAGAAAGGTGATTTAAGCAGTTTTGAGCGTGGCACGGTTGTTGGTGCCAGACGGGCCGGTCTGTGTATTTCACAATCTGCTCAGTTACTGGGATTTTCACGCACAACCATTTCTAGGGTTTACAAAGAACGGTGTGAAAAGGGAAAAACATCCAGTATGCTGCAGTCCTGTGGGCGAAAATGCCTCGTTGATGCTAGAGGTCAGAGGAGAATGGGCCGACTGATTCAAGCTGATAGAAGAGCAACTTTGACTGAAATAGCCGCTCGTTACAACCGAGGTGTGCAGCAAAGCATTTGTGAAGCCACAACACGCAGAACCTTGAGGCGGATGGGCTACAACAGCAGAAGACCCCACCGGGTGCCACTCATCTCCACTACAAGCCTGAAAAAGAGGCTACAATTTGCAAGAGCTCACCAAAATTGTCGCCTGGTCTGATGAGTCTCGATTTCTGTTGAGACATTCAGATGGTAGAGTCAGAATTTGGCGTAAACAGAATGAGAACATGGATCCATCATGCCTTGTTACCACTGTGCAGGCTGGTGGTGGTGGTGTAATGGTGTGGGGGATGTTTTCTTGGCACACTTTAGGCCCCTTAGTGCCAACTGGGCATGGTTTAAATGCCACGTCCTACCTGAGCATTGTTTCTGACCATGTCCATCCCTTTATGGCCACCATGTACCCATCCTCTGATGGCTACTTCCAGCAGGATAATGCACCATGTCACAAAGCTCCAATCATTTCAAACTGGTTTCTTGAACATGACAATGAGTTCACTGTACTAAAATGGCCCCCACAGTCACCAGATCTCAACCCAATAGAGCATATTTGGGATGTGGTGGAACGGGAGCTTCGTGCCCTGGATGTGCATCCCACAAATCTCCATCAACTGCAAGATGCTATCCATCAATATGGGCCAACATTTCTAAAGAATGCTTTCAGCACCTTGTTGAATCAATGCCACGTAGAATTAAGGCAGTTCTGAAGGCGAAAGGGGGTCAAACACAGTATTAGTATGCTGTTCCTAATAATCCTTTAGGTGAGTGTATAAGCTTGACCATTAAAAACAGCTTTTTTGTGGGAGTATAATGAAAAGACACACGATTAAAGTTCGTTAGAAATGTAATAACAAACTGGATAAAGCCATCAAGTTCTTTAAATAACTCCAGCACAGAAAAAAGCAACACAAACATACAATCACAACAGTTTGGCAGGTCATTAAACATCTCCAGCCGATCAGCTGACAACATGATTTTTAATGAGTTTTATTACCTGCTGTAATCAGCTGTTCCACTTGTTTTGGAGAGGACACCAACTTCAGCTCTGTGTAAAAACTTCCTGACTGATAAAACGAGAACTCCAGACCCAGTTTTTTTTTCACACCGCAGGACTAGCTGCACAACAGCTGCTATTTCCGAGCTATAATGCTGACGTACGATCTCAAGCCGACATCGTGTGTGATATCTTTTGGTGTTGATTGTGATGTACTGGTTTGACGGTGGAAAAGAGGAGCGGTAGCAGCAAAACATCCGAAATGCCTCCACTCGAACATTCAGAATGCGTTTTGTACAAGATATTGGAAAAGAAAAATGGCACAATTTTAGTACTCGATTCTCCCCACAGTTGTTGTTTTGCTTGCTCCAGGATCATACGGAACATTATACTATACTTTAATCTCAGAGCAGGCAATGCAAAGTTTGTCCTGAGGGTGGCGCTAGAGGAAAGCTCATGGGGTCAGTAACAATCTAAAGGGTTTATCCTCTGAGGAGCAGGAATATCCACAGCAGGTTTCATGGCAGGATGTGCCGGCAGTTGTTGAGGCTCAGGATTAAAACGATCGGCTTCGCCAGTCCAGCGATAGTCCAAAGTATCATGATGTAATCATTTAATCAATTACTTAACTAATTGCTGCAGCTGTAATCCCAACGCTGTACTAATTCTGTACTGTATTCTGCATGGCCTGTGGAGAAACTTCACTGCTCTGTGCATCTGAGTTAATTACAAAAACACATTATTAAATACACGGCACAAACATCAACCCCAAAGTCCCCAAAAACAAGTTATATTTTAGTGTCAAATCCATTAAATGACAGTTATAAATGACTGATTTTACAGTTAGAGCTTAATATTTCTCAAATGATTTACTTAGAAAACTAAAAAGCATGTCCTAAAAAGAGTGAACCTTACAGTGTATCTACAGTTACATAAAACAGGATGGGGATTCGTGGAATTAGCACATGATCACACTGTCCTTAATTTTAAAGACTTTAAAGAGTATGAGTCAATGAAAACCCTTCTCGGTGAAAGCTCCTGCAGACGTGTCAGCGCAGGCCTCTTAACAGCACTCCTCTCTGAATTATTTCCTCTCTTTTTATTCCTCATTAGCTTTGCTAAGTGGCCAAAACGCCACGCTAACACTTAGCACGCCACCCGCCTGCTCCTGGCCAACAGATGTAAAGTGTCCGAGCTGTCTGACAGCCTCGTGGCGATGTATTACCCTGTTTATTCAGCCAAACGCTGCAGATTAATTGCCCTGTGAAGGCAGAGGTTAGCAATGCTAATTTAATCAGAGGCTGCTGTTGTAACACCGCCAGACCTGCTGCAAAATACCTCAACATATGAGGAGATTTGTGAGAACATGGAGGTGTTTTTCTTTGGCTCAGCAGTGTTGGTTTCCTCCCTGAAATCAGCCTGAAGGGTTGGAGAGCAGACTGACGACCGTTGAGCAGGTTTTCCTCTAAGAGTCGGTCTGTAATCTGCTCCGACGTCAGTGTTTCATATTCAAACTGCTGCAGTCACTCTGCTCTGGAAAACCCATTTATTATATAAGGTATTGTTGCTGGTACACATTTTGTGTGTGCGCAGATACATTAAACACACACAGCTAAAGTTGCTTACTTTACAGTTTACATTTGAGGCATTTAGCTTTTTTGCTTCTAACTGGTGAATTCCAATGAGGTGACCGTAGCCTGGAGAAGAGATGTAGTGAAATGTTTTTACTGCAGCAGAACTACAGTACCGGGTTTCTTCAAGCTCCACTGCAGTACTACCACATGTGTAACAAACTAAATACATGACTGTACTGGCCGGGGGGGGGGTGCCAAATGCAAAAGACACTTCACTCACACGTGCACCAAATCACAAAACCTGAAATGAAGGAAAGCACCAGCAGCCAGGTAATCATTATCACAGCTTAGGCTATGTTCAAATATCCATATTTATGATTTGATTGAGCTAAAGTGCAGCAAAAACAGGTGGTGGCTGCAGACAATTGCTAGCTGGACGGGGCCATGGGGGGGCATTAACCCAGCAGCAGGACCGGTATCTGCTCCTTTGTGTAAGGAGGAACAGGAGGGGCACTGCCAGGGCCCTACAAAATGACCTCCAACGAGCTACTTGTGTGCACGTTTCTGACGAAACTCTCAAACAGACTCTGTGGGGGCCCGACGTCCTCTTGCGGGATCTTTGCTCACAGCCCGGCACTGTGCATTCTCCAGAGAACGCCAGAACTGGCAGGTTCACACTGAGCCCATGTGACAGACGGGAGTCTGTAGATGCCGTGCTGAACGTTGTTCTGCCTGCAACGTGATCCAGCATGACTGGTTTGGTAGTGTGTCAGTGATGGTCTGGGGATGCATATCCTCAGAGCTGCTGTCAGACCTTACGCTGGTGCATTGGGCCCTTTGTTCCTCCTGGTGCAGTGGGCCCCAGGCTCAATCCTGGTGCAGGACAAAGCCCAGCATCATGGTCTGTAGCCGATTCCTGGATGATGAAGGCATTGATGCCATTGACTGGCCCTCACGTTCCCGAGACCTGAATCCAGTTGAGAACCTTTAGGACGTTCTGTGTCGGTGCCTCCGACACCGCCAGGTAGCGCCACAGAACGTCCTGGAGCTCACTGATGCCCTGGTCCAGGTCTGGGAGGACAATCCACCATGACACCATCCGTCGTCTGATCAGGAGCGTGCCCAGACGTTGTCTGGAGTCCATACAGGCACGTGGGGGCCGAACACAGTGCTGAGCCACGTTATGAGTTGCTGTGATGAAAGTCAGGCAGGTTGGGTCAGCCTGTGGTTTCAAATCTTTTTACTGTGGTGGGATTCGGTGGGATTTTGAATCCAGCCCTCAACAGGTTCATAAGTGGAGGTGATTTTGGTCATTTTGTTCTCAACGAATTCTATGATGTACAGTAAAGATTGTGAACTGAGAACTATTTTGTTCATCGATATCTGATGTGTGATTGAAGTGTTCCTTGAATTATTTTTGTGTGTGTGAACAGCTACAGATGCAGAACTGATGGATAAATGGGAGCAGGCTCTGGGACCAAAGTACCAAGTTCTGGTGGGACCACACAATCTAACACGTATTCACTGATACTGCCCATGTTGGATGTTCAATCCTGATGGTTTTAATGCTGCTTTCATCCTTCCTTGTGTTTGTGTGTTCTCAGGTGGTGAAGTTGGATCCTGTCATTGAAGACGATGCAGAGCTGCAAAGATCCTCCAAGGTGAGAAACACTTTGAGGAAACATCAGACCTCTAAGCTGAAGCTTTAGTTTGCTGATCTGTCTGAGTTGTAAGCAGAGAACAGCATCGGAATAGATTAATGTGGCTGCAGCTTGTGATGCTGCTGACTTGCATTATACTGAGAGGTGTTTCTAATATATTTTACAGCCCCAATGTTAGAAATACCTCGTAGCACAGTACAGTTCAGCAGCATCACATACTACATCCTCAAATGAAACGCTTCAGAACTCTTTGTTTCGTCCTGTGTCTTTTCTCCCTGATGTGTTCAGCTGCTGCCCATCCACACTCTGCGTCTTGGTGTGGAGTTGGACTCGTTTGATGGTCACCACTACATCTCCTCGGTGGTCCCTGGAGGCCCCGTGGACAAACATGGAGTCTTGAGACCAGAGGATGAGCTCCTGGAGGTAAATATACATGTAGACAAACTCAAACACTGTAGATTTATTGTTTTTGTGAAAGAGCTTCAATGTCGGGCTAAAATCAAAATCACTATTAATTGAACATTTAACCTCGATTACGATTATTGAACGATTATTCTGTTTTTGAATGTTGTTTTTTTGCCCTCATAGTTCACTGACAAGGTTTGTGCTCTAAATTTGCTCAGTTATTGAAGCTGTTTATTTATTTGATTCACAGATTTAAAAAAATCGATTATCTAAATGTTAATTGATAAGGTAATGTTGACGTCCACGTTATGGTGACACAGTCCCGCTATCGCCACTGCTACAAAAATTTCACTAAATTATCAATGTCAATGCGAAACTACTGATTTACACCCACGCACTGTGCGAGCACCGCAACACACGCTTTGCTAGCTTCCTCTCCTCATTCATCAAAGAGCATTCAAGTTACGTGAAAGCTGCTGTTATAAGAGCAGAGGAGATAACGTCAGGTCTTAAAGGAGTGCAGTGTCGGTGCGTAACGAGTGAGTGGTGGAGCAAAGGAGAGAGAGCAAGCGGCAGGAAGTGGCAGAAAAAGCAAGCGAGTTGTTGTCAGTCTGGCAGTAAATGTACAGAGTAGGTCACGCCGTCCACGTTAATAAAATGGATGTCTGTTGTTTGGCCATCTGCCTGACTCCGGTCTGGAAGCTCAGTGGGACTGGATGGGGCGGAGTCACATGACCCCACACACAGTAGTAGTAGCATGTTTTTAAGGGGAAAGTACATGAACACACACTGTAGGGAAAATATTTATAAATAACCGACATGGTAAAATTACGTCTGTTAGAGGCTCTGAATTTCGGTTTTGATTACTTTTCAATTAATTGTCTAGCTCTACTTCAATGCTTACTGTCTCCTTTTACATTTCTATTTCTGCACCTGTTCAGTAAGCAACATAGAACATGTAAATCAGACCGTTATTTTAAGCAGAGCTAGCAGTTTGGCGGCTCCCTGTTGTGCACCTATCGCTACCACTCCATGTGGAGTCCCACAAGGCTCAATTGTTGATCCACTACTTTCTGGTCTTTGTATGTTACCATCGGTGACATCATCGACCCAACTCTTTATAGCTGTTGAACCTGATCTTTACTGCTTTAAAATCTCTATTAATGAATGGCTGACCCTGAGGCCGTGTGATATTTATCACATCATCTTATACTGAACAAAATTAAAAAGGCAACACTTTTGTTTTTGCCCCCATTCATCATGAGCTGAACTCAAAGATCTAAGATTTTCTCTATGTACAAAAAAGTTTTCTCAAATATTGTTCACAAATCTGTCAAAATATGTGTTAGTGAGCACTTTGCCGAGATAAACCATCCACCTCACACGTGTGGCATATCAAGATGCTGATCAGACAGCATGGGGATTGCACAGGTGTGCCTTAGACTGGCCACAATAAAAGGCCTTAGGCGGCCACAATAAAAGGCCACTCCAAAATGTGCAGTTACCAATTACTTACCAGTTTTCCTGCTCAGTAGCGCAGTCTTAAGGGGAGGGGAGATGTTAGCTAGCGCAAACTGGCTTCACTTTTCCAGCAGGGGGGAAACAACAGACAGACATTTCTTGATCTTGAGAAGCTGATCCATCGTAACCGACACCGTAAATTTACTGCCAGAATATTTTCCTCGCGTTCAGTCACTTTCTGCCGCTTGGACAATCAAACACTCGCTTGTAACATCACCTGTCACGTAGATGCTCTGTGAAGAACGAGGAGAGGAAGCGAGCCAAGCGATGAGTGTTACCGTGCTCACATAGTGTGTGAGTGAAAATTAGTAGCACATTGATATAATGCGGCATTCAGACCAAACGCAAATTTAATCCACGCAGCGCTCTCCTCGCGGGGTTTTTATCGCTGGACAACTGCTGAGTGTTCACACGCAACGCGATAACGCGAATAAACACAACTCGACATTACTATGGCTGTATGAACCCAAAGTAAACATTTTGCTGTGATTAAATAGCAATAAACGGATCAAACTGATGCCAAATAACTACAATATGATGCAGATTTGTTAAACATGAATTCACGCTTTGTCAGGTCTGTCAGCAGGACAACAGCTTTTAAAATGTTTGTTTTCTGAATGGAGTTCGGATCGATCAGGGCTATGCTATGCTAACTTGGTCACAGTAAAGTACGATAGCTGGAATAAAGTTCCATACACATGTTTTCTGACTCACCAGGTAGTTCAACCTCCTCGCTTTCTTTTCTCCCAGCAATGTCCAGTTTTGTCCGGTTTTTTATATAAATATGAAGTAGTGCCAAACTACGCTAACAACACTGGAACTGAATGTGCACAGAATGTAGCTGCTGAGAAGCTCGAGTGAAGAAACATCACTGAGCATAATCCAGTCCTACTACGGGTGTTTATTTGTCCAAAAGCTGGAGCGCTGCTCCCTGCCCTCTAGCCCAGTTTAGCAGCTCTCAGCCGGCCAGCAGATTTTCAATCGCCCGCTCTGCCTGGCGCTCTCCACACAACGCTCTGATGCCTCTGTGACATACGGATAATCTCAACGTTGATAGGCTATCGTGACTCAGCGTCATGCAAATTTCTCACGAATTCCTTCGCGTTGCCTTCGCTTCACCGGCACCGCCCCCCAACAGGAAATCGCGGCTCTACGCGTCTTTGCATTGCATAATGTGGAAAAATCATGGACGCCACTACAATATGTGTTTGATTAGCATTATCAGAGTGTAAACCCCCTTCAAGGACAGCAAACTAACCACTATAACCTAATACTGTCTTACAAATGACGTTAGCAAAGAAATTATATGCAACACGGGCTTT